CGATCCGCTGCCGCCAAGCAGAAGCCTATGCGGAAGCAAAATTCCACCATTCAAAAACTTCTCAGAAAACCCAAAATTATCTTCCCCGTAGCATTACTCTTTGCGGATGCCGTCCTTGTTGCCCTCATCATCACCTACGTTCCCTGTAAATTCGAAGCCGTCAATATTTTTGAACTAATTTTTTCCTTTTTTTGATTCTAATTTTTCGGTTTGTGTAATTTCAGACACGAAAATTGATTGGGATGCATATATGTCACAGGTGAGACTAAAAGTTCATTATTTTTATGATCTGCATGTGAATTTTTTTCTTCAAAGTTTTTATACTTGAGATTAATTTTAAAGGTCAGTGGGTTTCTGGGAGGAGAAAGAGATTACAGCAAATTGAAAGGTGATACCGGGCCTCTCGTTTACCCAGCTGGGTTTCTTTATGTATATTCTTTCTTTCAGTATGTTACTGGAGGCCAGGTCTACCTTGCCCAGGTAATTTTTTCTTTTCGATATTCTGTTTGTGATTTGCTTTTAGTTTCTTGATGAACATAGACAAAAAATAAAAATTAACAGGAACATTTCTGCTAAAACTTATCAATATTTTCACCTATCGAAAAATTCATTAGTTAATACATGAAATTGGATGCTATTCTCATACAATGTTTTGGTGACATGGAGTTGTGGCCTCAAATTGGTTTAGAAAATTCACACCCATAAGTTTTCTGGTTTTGAATTTGTGATTCGGCCAGTCCGTATTTAATTTACAGAAGAGTGTTAGATTTTGGCAAATTTGTTTATATTCATGTATATGAAGGGAGATCTTGAATGGATTAAAGATGTGGAATAACTGGGAGAGACTGTAAATTAGTAATTGATAAGTGGCATTTGGATGGAGTTTGTTAGCTTAGCCTTTAGCACAATAGCTCTTAATTTGAATGTGAATTTTGCTTATTGACTCTTATTAGCAATTCCTTTGGTCGGTCAGTCCTCCTAGAGAGAACATTTAGTGTTGCAAATCTAACCTGTGACAATTACACAATTAAATGTCATAAAGGCTAGACATATCTTCTGCAATTTGCTTTTTCCCATAGAAGTACTGGTTAGCTTCAAAGGTTTAAAAAACTATTTGAGGCTTACGCCTCGAATCCTACCTCATGCCATTTGTGAGGCTTATGCCTCAAACCTGAGCCTCAAGCCAGTGAAGGCGTTCCCAAGTTTGCCTTGTATTTTTCAAACATTTATGTTATTTCCTTATAACCTAAAATGATTTGCGGGTTCTTTTATTTTTTTCCTACATAAATGGAGGGAAAAAGGAAAGGAGAATACACCACCACACTTGTGGGATGATGACAAAAAAAAGGAAAAGTAACTTGTAATGAGGATGATGACAATGGTATAAATGATTCCCTTAAAGGATATATTAGTAGCGATGCTATAAGAAATTTTTTACTTGCCTCCACTTTTAATAGTAGATTATAAATTTTTTAGATAATTACTGATTTGAAAACTTATTATTTTCAATTTTCTCAATCTACTTTATGTTTGTTTGCAATTTAGACCTTTAATTTTGTTAATTAATTTCATTATGGATATTTTTAAAAGGGTTATGGTATATTGCAACTATATTTTTGTATTTTTATATATTGAATTCTTTTATTATTTTATATTGAGGCTTATGCCTCACGTCACAGCGACAAAAATGCCATAGTACCCGATTAAGCCTTTTTAAACATTGGTTTTGCCGTGTCTCTTCCTTTATTCTAATCCATGCAGCTGGCTGAGTAAACTTTCTGTTTTTGGATGTATTTCGAAGAATAACCAAATATTGATGTTCCAGATTTTCCCTCCTTTCATTAGTATCCTTACTTGACCAATTAAGCGCGAGAAAGAAATCTCTACAAGGATCCATTTGTCTTCTATAATCAGATCCCAATCAACCATCTTTTCAAGTACTTATCAATTGCTCTGGACATCTTGGATATCTTGTTGATGTTGTCTGGTATCATTGCAATGTTCACTTAATTTAGTGCACCATGGATACATGGTCAGATCTCCCCACCTTTGCCCTTTCTGTTCCATGGTTTGGTCATTATTTTTTTAAAAATAAAAAGCCGTAAAAATATTGAATTATCACATTTCCATTGGAGTCAATACCTTCCCTCTTCAACTGTACTACAGGCTGTCTTCGTGCATTCATTTGTATAATATAATGGTGACTCGTGTTCTTCCATCATTGCAGATTTTGTTTGGCTTTCTCTACATCGTGAATCTTGGAATGGTCTTATTCATCTATTTGAAGACCGATGTGGTATGAAACTTTCTTCTCGATTTATGATGTGTTATTTTTGCATTGTTTGAAGGAAGCTGCTTGAACTGTTTAAATTAATATTGACCATTTCATCTTTTGATCCCTTTGTTAGATAGTTTTATAAGTTCAGACATTCAAGCTCCGCTCACTTGTATTCTTTGGTAGCTAATGCCAATTAAACTGCTTTGCAGCTCCCGTGGTGGGCTCTTTCCTTGCTTTCTCTGTCTAAAAGAGTCCACTCAATTTTCGTGCTTCGCTTGTTCAATGACTGTTTTGCAACAACTCTCTTCCATGCTGCACTAATCTCATTTCTTTATCAAAAGTGGCATCTAGGTTTACTTATTTTCAGGTACTGTTTACTGTATTTCAATTTCTTATTCAGTGGATGGATTTATTTTATGGTTTCTTATTGGTGTCACATTATTGAAACTAAATGTGTTATAGTCATTTGCCTTGTTAGCACAGTGGAGCGGTCTCAGTAAAGATGAATGTGCTCCTTTATGCTCCATCCTTATTACTCCTCATGCTGAAGGTATAATGATTTTGATTTTTCACACTTCAAAAGTTTGGATCTCTATTTACATTTTAACCAATCTCTATTTGTTTGCCGGAAAATCTTGAAATGCAGGCTATGGATATTGTTGGGGTGATATCTGCTTTAGCAGGTGCAGCACTAGTGCAGGTGCTTATTTTTCAATTCTGCTTGATAGCTTGACAATGTTGACATATTGCATAACTACTACACAGGTGTTTTAATGTATCTAACAATGCCATTTTGCATAAAGTTATTACTAATTGCAAACAAATATTTACTTGTTGCCTTTTATCATGCAATATCTATTAGTTTTATGGCAACCCATTTATATTTCCTTTATTGTTACATTGTCAGGT